CTTGGTGTTACGAAATTAGTTTAAAAACAAGTATAAAATTTCTTATGCTTGTTTACTTATACTTTAATTCAAGGCACAATATTCACATAGATTATTTGATGGACAAGAAATATTCTATCCTTTCTCCTTTTGAAATGCTTCTCTTTTTTTTTTTTTTTTATTTTTNTTTTTTGTTTTACCTGATACAGTTATATAATTTTCTTTTCTAGATGAGACCAAGGCTTCTGGCTCTTGGCTAGTAGGTCATGTAGACTATGAAGGAGTTAAAGAGGTAGCCTCATGGATTACACCAGTTCCCGGTGGTGTTGGACCAATGACTGTTATAATGTTAGTTGAAAATACAGTTAAGGATAGCTCTTAATGCTAAGATAGCTCTTAATACGGTATACAATATTATATTATAATAAAGCGTAATTTTATTACGTAATGAATTATTTTGTCACGTAATGAAAGGTTTTTTGTTCTGTGAAACTGTGTTTTGTCAACTGAAATTTATGCATTCAGAAGATTTTTTTACATTTTCATAACTGTCAACTATTCTGCATTTTGTAAAACTTTCATTATTTTTGCTCCATTTTCCACCATTCAACATAAAAATCCTCCACATTTTATAAATCCCTACATTAAATTTTCCCTCTGTGTTTTATGGTTGCTCTAATGTTGCATCGCATTAAAGATGTTATGGTAATATTTGGATATTAAATATTTGGATTTAAGCAAAATTCGATATTTTATGATTGCGACATTTCACCACATGATTAACTATTACTGCTAAATAATAAAGTGAGCTGTATTTATAGTTAATTTGATGCTTTTCTTTCTTAAATATCAAAAATTTTCAGGTCTTTTATTATTAAACTTACAAGGCACATTTATATTCAAGTCCATTAAATGTCAGTCACAAAAGTAAATAGTACAATCAATTAAAATTCATTGTTTGTATTCTGTTAAAATCCCTAAAATGTTCTAGATATTACACAATATTCAGCATAAGATTTTTATTATTTCCTAAAATGAACCCTAACTTAACTTAGGCGTATATTGCATATTTAATTGCAATGTTTAAATGACGATATGATTAGGCCACGATTCTTTAAATAATGAGTAGCAAATTACTAGTTTGAAAGAGCTGAATACTAGTTACAGCAAAACGCAGTAGCAAAAATTGCTGGTAACTTCTGATTATCTGGATTTTCATTTGTTTGTTTTTTTAACAAGATTTTTTAAATTCTGATTTTTTTAATTCTGTGCTATTGTGGTGTGCAAATTTCGAATTAGAGTTATCACTTCTTAGCGCTCTCGATTACGGAAGATTCCATTGTAAATTCTCTCTATTTTCTGGTCATTTTGTCATTAGTTATTTATTGTTCTTTCAGCCATCTCCAGATTTTTCAAACTTTAGTAATTTTAATATAATATTGCAGCACCCAAAGTTCAAGTTGGAGTGATTAATTTTTTCCCATCCAATTTTAACAACTATGTCATCGTAGATCAACGTCATTTTCTAATATAGTCTTCTCAGCAGTTGTTACAGTTAGTTGTCGTACTTCCGGTCTGGCAATGTCCACATCATTTTAAAAATCTCAATATTTTAAATCCACCATTATAACTGCTAACATATTCGAAATTATGCATTTGAGTATTGAAACTTTCATGAAAGTATAAATATTTAACATTCAATGATCGTTTTATTGCAATAAGTTAGACTACAATGGTTATGTTGAATTCTCTTATTACAATATGTAGTGGGATACCGCTATCAAAATTTTTAATGAACTAATGCCATTGTTAATGATTACTTTCAACAGCTTCTAATACAGGGTTGCCACAGGCGACTNTCAACAGTATTTAGCACCAATGTGGGTTGAAACTGTAAAAATTGTTATTAATGATTTTTGTTTATTTTAACTGACAATATCTTTGCATTGCTAATGGTCTTGTAATTGTTTTTTTTTCTAGGGTAAATAAATTAAATCAATTAGATTATGATCAATATATGTAGCGCCATTTGGGATTCATAGCCTTCTAGTTTTGATAAAGATGATGTGAATAGATTTGTACATAGCTATGTCTATTTTTAATAAAAAGATTTTTGTTTGAAATTAGTATTTATTCCTAAATGTCATAGACACAAAGACAAAACCATAATGTGTATTTTGTTGTTTTACATATGCCCCTTATGAGGATGGTTTTAATTTAAAGACAATTTTTTTTAACTTTTTTGAATATTTTCTAAACAACTTCGTTTTTGCAATAATAATTATCATTGTTATGACTAGCAAATTAATATTGCCTAGAAATATACGCAATTTCTAATGAATACTTCATTTCTTAATACAAGCTGTTCTAGTTAATGAATACAGATAAGTTTCATTTCTACAATTTCGAGTTTAGTTAAATATTTTTGATATAATCGTGACTGTAAAAGCAAAAAAAAAAAAGATTTGTCCACAAAATCTATCAATTGGAAATTGGATTACAAACCTAAATACGCAACATTCTAGGAAAATAAAACTCAACACTTGTTCCTTTTCAGCAGCCTTTATAAAGCATGCGATTTAGAAACTTTCCTTTCTGCTTATGTTTTTATAATCAAAAACCATGTTCATTGACTAGGGCTGTAGTGAAAAGTTCTAAAACTTGCACACAACTTGCAAATTTATGTTCTGGAATACACATGGAAAAACAAAATGTGAAGAATTGAGACTAGATTACTTTATACTGTTGTGGCAATCGAAAAAACAACGCAAGTGCTTCAAAATTGATTCCGAGAAAAGTGGCTTGGCAACTATTCACCTTCTATTGCTATGAACGCTAAAGTGGAACTTTAAAAAGCTGATAAAATAAAAATTTGGAAAAAAAAAATTTTTTTAGCAATATGTACAAAGATGCCAAATATATAAAAATCTTAATTTTGAATTTTTTGTCACTTACTTTGATTTTTCAATTGCATGGCAGTAGTACACTGAACCACTAGTTTTAATGCTGATTTTTGTTTTTTTTTATTATTATGTTCAAACAAGTCAATTTTTTGTTTTAAGAACTAAGAAAGTTTTTTTTCTTTCTATTATAACGTGGCATTTTGAAAAAGCGTTTCTGATAAACTATATTTCTTTTAACGTTTTATGGATACTATTTTTCTGAAATATATCATTTTTATCATTAAAGCTTTGTTTTAAGGATTAAGAGAATTTTTTCTGATTACCTTTTTTTTTGCAAGTTAATTTTTTTAGTAGCTGTTAGATATTTCCAATGGATAGCTATTAGTTTTTTTTTTCTCACCATCATACCATTAATATTGCAAGGTTTTGGGTAATTTTCAATAATGACTAAACTTATTTATAGAAAAAAAATATTGTTTTTGAATAAATGTTGCTGTTCGGTAATAAGCTGATTTCGTTGACTTAATATTCAGAATTCGGCCAGTTCACTATTCATTACACCCCTACATGTGAATCAAGAACCAATTGTGTTACCTCTCTTGTTAAAGGTCATCTACGTGTATCTCAAATTCTATGGACGCACAATGCTACCTTGTGATAAAAATTTAAATACATTGTCACAAATGTGTGATGGCCAGGGTTGTGGCCATATCGCAACTGCACGTCGGTCCGGGAAAAGGGCCTGTTTTGTGCTGGCATGCATATGTGACAGTTGATGAAAAATGATGAATTGACGTGTCCTTTTAGTGGCTAAAATTGTGAAGTTTAGTTTTTGGTTAATTCAAATTATTTTAGCTTTCTTTTTTCTTAATTCTTGGCTTTGGTAAATTTTTAGTTGAAATATTTATATATTATGTCAAATAAATTGCGATTATCAAAGTACTAGCAAATTCAGAGGGCAACAATAAAAGCAAACAGAAACTATGATTTTCAAACTAATTTAGATTTTAGGCCATTAAATGTTTAATTTTCTTATCATTTAAGAAACACTTAAGGATACTTCATAAGAAATAGTAAATAAAAAATTCTGTGGCAGAATTTATCTTCCTTGGGATGTTAATTTTCTACATAAAATAAATATGTAGGGGAGAGTCGGGTAGCCCCGCCCAGCGGGAACCTCTGCCCAATGTCAATTTCATATGTATAGAATATTTTTTCAAGTCAATGGGCCATCGGACATTAATTGTTATATTAAAAAAAGATTATTTTCAAAGCTTCAAGTATTTATGTAGCTGGTAACATGGTAAACAATAGTTTTGAAAATAAGTTGAATACAGAAGTCGTGAAATTAAGAAAAATTGGTTAAATGTTTCGATTAAACTTCATTTTAATACTAAAAAAATAATTTTTTCTATACATACAGCATTAAAGTATGTAGTCTTAAGTTTAATTTGCACAAAGAAAGAAGTTTGTATGTAAAAAATTGTTCGAGTAATTACAAATTTACAAAAAAATTGGATTTCGGGTAGCCCCGCTCACATGAATGTCGGGTATCACCGCCCAATTTTATTTCGTCGATAAATGTACGGTTGCAAAGATTATTATTTTATTGCTTCAAATTTGAATGTTATATGCATTTTTAACAACAAATATATGTTTTAATATTATATGAAACATAAATTTATATATTTAAAAATGAAAAATTAAATATTTTTAAAATGTAATTGATATATCCAAATTAAATTTAATATCAAGAAATCATAAATATTATGATAAGCTATTTGCTTACTTATTTATTTTCACTTATTTGTGAACGAATCAATCTACAGAAGCATTTGAATGCAATCAAAATACAAAGTGAATTTGTAATTTTATAAGAAGTATTTTATATTAAGTTTATAAGAAGAGATCAACCAAATAAGTTTATATAGAAAAACAACTATTGTTATTAATTATTGTTACTTAAATTAAATTATTTTCGTTAAATATTTAATATAAATATACATTAATAATGATAAAATGTATGACATTTGTTGTTATTAAATGATAGAATTCACTAAAAGTATATAAATATGTAATAAATAAAATAATTTTGTTATAAAAATAATAAATGAGGTTTATCTTTTGTCAATACATTGGTCATTCTCATTTACACCTGAAAAAATAGCCAAAAAACACAATTTTTGTAACTGGGCGGGGCTACCCGACACATTTTGAAAAGAGCCGAAAAACATGTTCTTTTAAATTTCTCTTTAAGTTTAACTATTCTTTTTTGGTTTATTCTTTTTGCATTATTTAATTAGATGATAAAACAATAGAAACATACAAAAATTTTGATTATTACTCAGTATTATACAGAAATATAAGCAATACTCCTTAAGTGAGCGGGGCTACCCGACTCTATGAATACGCCTTAATTAATGATGTTTTAATATGTACTGACTGTAATTATCACATTTCTCTTACGACTTTTTTGTTAGCTAAACTTTTTATGCTTAATTATAATAAAAGTTAAAAAAGTGGCAATGTTTTTTTGACCTTGGATATTGAAAGCCTACAAAAATACGATTACAGAAAAACAAATTTATTAATTTTACTTCCCACTTTTTTTTAAATTTTTATGTTGAAGCACTGGATTAAAAAAAATGATCAAAAATTAGATCCTAAAAATTTTTAAAATTAGTTTTTACAGGCTATATAGTGGGAGTTAATTGTAACATTTTGAAACTTTTTACATACAACCCTTAAAATGTTTTCATTCTGAAAATTTATGAGAAGAAAAAACTTTTTCTAATTATTTGCTTTAAAATAATCTTAAAAATCTTATACAGTGAAACCTCCAGGCAGTGGCGGATCCAGCGGAGAATTGAAATTCCCCCCATTGAAAAGAAACATTTTTTTAATAGCTTACAAAATAAATGAAATATTTTAAAAATTATTTAAGGGGGCACATACACCAACGAAGGGCGAAAAAATCGATTTTTTTCCCCCACCTAATTATATTCTTTTCACGCCAGCAACAGCAGAACGTTCCTTTTCAACTCTTCCGCGTCTCAAAACTTGGCTTAGAGCAACTCAAAATCAAGAACGATTAAATAGACTCGCATTATTAAACATTCATCGAGAAATTGATTTGGATGTTGAAAAAATCATTGACAGATTTACCAAAGGTTCTAAAAAGCGCATTACATTTATTATTTAAAGATGTTGAATACTTGAACTATTTATGTATTGTTCATTATGAAAAAAATAAATGAGAAGACTAGCATTAAAAACCCCATTTATTTTCACAAAAATATTAATAAAAAAAATTAATTGGGGGGGGGATCAGAATCTATGACCCTCCCCAGGAAAAATTTATGGATCCGCCCCTGCCTCCAGGAAAGACCATTTCTATTTACGATCACTTTTGGGAGGTGCTGAATTTTTTCCATTGACTTTGTGTTGAGGAAAACCTTTTGGAAAGACCATTAAAACCTTCCCAGAGACTGGGCAAACATCTGCACCAAATGCGGAAATGGTCAAATAAGGAAACACGAAAAAATATCAAAACATTTAACAAAACAAATAAGTTGGTTAAAATGTATTTAAATTATACAGTCAGAGTGCACTAAAGACGATGGTATAATTGATTTACTTTTGAGAGTTGAAAGTTAAATTAGAAAGAAAATTTATTTTAGACTAATTTTTATGATATAAAATTAATTGCATATTTAAACAAAGAACATAATCATTTATTTATATAAAATAGCTTTATCATTCGTAACTGATAAAATTGTTTTTACTAATAGTTATATCAGTTAGGTTCTTTTTTAGAGACACTAAATTTATTCATGGATCCGTTTTTCCATGACGCATTTCCGCATCAAGAAAAATTATGCGCCTTTCATAACAATTTTGAATTCAATAGGGGTAAACTCTATAAGAACGACTAACATCTATGAGCTACCATTTTATTGTAGAACGGAGGGTGGTCGCTCCCGAGAGATTTTACTGTATTATGTAAAAAATCGAAATTTTTAAAACTATATCATGACTTGTTTTTTGCCTAATAGAATAACGATATAAATATAAAGTACGCAAACTGTAATTTTCTAAATTGAAACTAAATCCCTCTAATTTAAGATGTCATATGTGAAACAACGTTTAAAAAGATGGTGAATTCAGATGATATAATAATATTATAACCAGGGAGGAAAAACGAATCCATATGAACGAGA